AAGGAAATATTACACATTTCCAGTCAATTAAATACCAAGAGTCTAAATATTTTCCAAAGTGTGATTAAAAAATAAAAAGGATTTTTGTACATATTTACTTGAATACCAGATTTCCCTTTGGTACAGATGCCTCCTTAGGCTGGACAATGATACACAGAATAATCAAGTTTTCTGTATCTAATCTAAACCTCTGATATATCTTGCCCTGCACCGACTGTATCTTAAGATGTTCCTAGTCATTGCTGCAGCAGAAAGAAGTTTGAAATAGTACATCTCTCTGTATCATAATGTATTTTTATTAAAAACATGTATTTGTTGCGACTTCAGTTTTTCTATCCTGTCATGTTCATGATTCTGAACTGATGCCATTAGCCCTGTAGCATAAATTGTGTGGTATATTCAGAGCACAGGTATTAGCTGTCAGAAATATGGATGAGAAATTGTGCTGTGTGATCATCTGGCTTCCAGCTAGTAATACGGCAAGGAAAAGTAGCTCATTGTAGAGAGAGAAGAAAAAATAAATTGCAAGCTTCCAAAGGGTATATATGCACAAACATTACCGTTAGAACAAATAGTCTTGTAAGAGCAGTACAGCAGTGCAGTAGGCCAGCAGTCTTTAAATGGCTGGATCCTGGGATTTTTACCAGAAACTGAATTTTGTTGTTCTGAAGGAGGAAACCTTGCCCTCTGCTGGTACAAGTCAGAGGAAGCTCTCAAAATGAGAAGAAAAATTACTATAGAGATGGTGAAATGTAGCATACAGCATCACGGGATGGCTGAGGCTGTCTGGGACCTCTGGAGTTTGTCTGGTCTGACCTCACCTCTCCAGCAGGGCCCCCTGGAGCAGGTGGCCCAGGACTCTGTTCTCTTATGCCATGCTATGTTATGCTGTAAGAATCACACATTTTCCTTTGTGTTCTCTTCAGAGCAAGGGATGACACAAAAGTTCTGTCATCTAGCTTGTCAGAGGAGGAGAGAAAAATGTCTGCTTTCTTAAACAGTAAAGCTACCAGGAGCAGTAGAGGTACCTCAACCCTTTTCTTCTGTTTAGAAAAAAAGAAAAGAAAGTACTCTTCCAGTAGATGCTCTGTGACTTACTCACCTGGTAACCTCTAGGAGAGCTTTTCTTCAGCTAAATTTCTGCAGGAGGCAGAGCGTGGCTGTACTGAAGGATGCTCTGCAGCACTTGAATGCAATTTACTTTCCTTTCCTGCTTTCACAGCTGCCATGCTTTGTCCCAGTTCCCTCTGTACCTTGTTTTGGGGTGTGGGGTGTGTGAGTTAAAGGATCTACAGGAAATAAACACTGGATTTATCCTGGGTTTTATTTAAAGATTTAGTGTGATCTGTGTACATTTTCTGTCTGTGGTCTGTATAATGTGGAACAACTACATAAGACAATGACAAAACCAGTAACGGGATGTACCTGTGGTCTTGGTTTTAACAGATTCCATGGAAGGTTATCAGGAGTCACCATATCCAGAAATTGATTATTTTGTTCGTTCTTTGGTTAATAAAGATGGGGTGCAAGGAGGTAAAGACCACTTTACTATTTATAAATGAGTATTCTGCAGCAGTAATTTTTTTAAGAATTTATTTTTTAATATTTTTTTTTTTCCTGCAGGGATACGACGATGGAATTACTTCTCTCTGGATGAAATACTTGTGTATGATATTTCTGGTTACCGTTGGTGTGAAAATATTGGAAGAGCTCACAAAAGTAACAACATAATGTATGTTCTTTAACTATTCACTATGAACCAGCTTTATTCATTTTCCTGCTCAACTGTTACTCTATAAAAATGCTGAAAAACTCTTATTAATAGAACCAGCATTATAATTTCTGTGGGGATACAATGCTTTTTTATTTTTTAAACACCTTTCCCCTGCCCCCAATATACTTTGTGATAACTGAACTTGCATTTCCAGTACCTCTGTGAAGTATTCTTCATGCTATTTAAAATATGTGCCTGAAGATGCTAACATACAAATCAGAGTATGTTAAATGTGTTAAGTGGTACTGTGCTTTGATGCTTCTTAGCTAGAGGCTGAACAATGAGAAATAAGGTGAAGAAAACAAACCACTTCTGAATTCATTTACAGTGCATCTTAAATTACATTCTTATGTTATTAAAATGACAAAGGTAACTCCTGCCACCACTTCAGTCAAGGTGAGTTTTGCTGGTGACTCTACAAGGACCTGGACTTCTCATAGTTTTAGCAGAATAAGCATTGAAAAGTGAAGGTTTTTTTAGATTACATTAGAATTGCAGTATATCATTAGTAGAAATATGTAAACTTAAAAATAATTCTACGTAACATTTAACTGAAAGATAAGGAATGTGTTTTTTTGAGAAATAGGTATAAGGAGATCCTCCACAGCTCCTGTGCTAGATGGGCTTGGTGCTTCTCAAGAAAGTTGCTTGAAGCTTGGTGTTTCTAAAGCACAGCTGAAAAGCCTGGGTTGTCAAATCAGTTACCAGGAAATAGTGATTTTTATCTGGCTTTTATAATTAAATGATCTGTTACAGCAGCAGTAGCAAGAAAATCTTAACTTACAGTTAGGTCCCATCTACTAATCTTACTTTAATGACTTTTTCTTCCAAGTTTAATGTAATGAAATAGAATAAATTTCACTTCTGAATGTTAGTCTTAAAAGAAGTGTTTTTAACTTCAGAAGCCTGAAATTTATTGAAGAAACTAAGACACTACAAGTATGTGATATGTCAGTATGAAAGCAATATCCATAGATGGGGATGAACAAAACCTGCTGAGTGTCAAAGAGTTTCCTGTTGTATGCATTTACTCCATTTATGTACTCTTACTAAGAACTAAACTATTTCATTTGTAGGATATTGGTAGATCTAAAGAAGGAAGTCTGGTATCAGAAGTGTCATGATCCCGTCTGCAGAGAAAAAAACTTCAAATCACAAAGTATGTATTCTGCAACTTCAAAGCAATTATACTTAATACTTTTTTTGGAATGTTTAATTAATGCCATGTATTTGATTTAGGTTTTCCATTACCACCTCAGATACGTCTCCCTTTTCTTTTCAGAGAGGTATGTTTTTGTCCTATTGCTATGTTAAAGTTCTTGTGAGTAAAGCTGTCTCTGGAAGCTCCTCACTAGTGCCATCCGTTGAGCTCCATGCAGTAGTTGCACTGGTGTCAAACAGCTCCCCAGAGCAGCTGTGCTGGGGTGGTAGCTCCATATTTTCATTTTTAATTCTCCAGCAGCAGATCTAGCATGAAAACTGCCAGCACAGATAAAGACAAGTTACTGGAGTGGCCTAACTTCATCTGGGACTAAAGATTTTCTTCTGGTTTGGTCTGATGAGCAGTTTCCTGTTCACATACCACAAGACCACTGCAGGTGCAGAATGGGAAAACTGCCCAAGTTAAGCTGTACTGTACATGTCTGACTTCAATGCTGGGCCAGCTAAAACAGAAGTGCTCCTGGAACACTTGAGTCAGTCACCCTCAAAGTTGAAGTTCACTTAACTCCATGTTAGTGTATTAAAGCAGTTATGTTTGCCCACATGGGTAGAACATGTAACAACGTGATACTGTACCTAGATTCTGAGCCCTGAACATAATAGGTTTTTTTCAATGAGTAGGCAAATAAGAGTTGGCCTCTTTGCAGCTTTTAAATTTGCACTTGATGCTTAAATTTCATACTGCAGAATGGCACATTAAGCTCTATTTAAGTAGTTCATAAATAGCTTTTAATATTATTTCAAAGAAAGTGTAATTTAAATGCATTTTTCAGATCCTGACAGTATCTATAAATAGACACTAAATTTAGTTTTTACTTTTTATTATTTTAAGAAGCTGTATACAACAGACTACTCGCAGTTTGCTAGAAAAACAGCAAATTTCTGTTCCTATTAAAACAGGCTTCTACAGGGTAACATGGCCATAAGTTAACCTGTTGGAAAATGTCTTGTTGGCCAGTTTTCTATAGTATCCATTTATGTGACAGTATGACAGCTGCAGATCTTTCAGATCAGAGCAGTTAAAAGGTACAAAGACCACTTTCATATGGAATAAACAGTATTCTCGTTTCTAAAAGGAAGAAGAGTATACACCAATAGATGAAAGGGGGAACACAGAAGAAAAAGTAAACGCACATTCTAATGTATCAGACTTATCAAGTTCAGTATCTCCTGAAAAAAGCTTGTCTCAGCAGTTCCTGTTGGCAGACAGTAAATGGGACAGCACAGGTGATGATGCCTTCTTCCTAGAAGCTACTGAGGATGCAGAACTAGCTGAAGCTGCAAACAATGGTCTGAATTACGCCATGGAAGAAATTCCTGATGAACTTCTTTTGGAAGCCGTAAGGAAACAGGACACTTGCAATAAAGGCAGCAGCTAACCACAGACTTGGCTGGCAAGCAGACTGCTAGCTACGGAGTTTGTGTATTGCAGGCCTTCCATGAAGGATACTGCCATAGAGTTCAAAAGTGCTCTGTCAGAGCTGCAACACCAAGAACTTGCTGACAAACAAGTATCCTCACAACAGGATGATCCTCAACAGGCAGGAGGAGATGATGAGTGCTGCTCAGAGTTTAGCACTTTTAAAACTCTCTGCTGTGTGGTTTCTGTTTTGTTAGCTGGATGTCCAAGTTTTACTAATAAGCCAAGTAAAAATCAATTTCTTCCAGAAATAGGAGGCAATTATTTATTTCAAATATAAATTAAATAAAAAATCTATCACTAGGTTCAACCAAAGTCTGTGTATATATTGCTTTCAAGATCACATTACTTTAACAGCCCAAGATTAAACCCCAACATTGTTAACAGAGCACAGAAAAGCTTTAACTGGAATTGCTATTTCATGAACTTCACTGACATTGAGTAAGTTATTACACAGACTGACAATAGAAAGACATATCCTCTCATTAAGTCACTGACTTGAAGCAAAATAGAGCAACAATGATTAAACAAGCTTTAAGCACTGTCCATTCTAATAATTGTTGCTAACAAATGTGAAAAATTGTATTAAAAAGCACTTAGTTTTGATAAATTCCCTGTCTGTGCAGCCAGAGCATCTTCCAGTCTCCTGTTGATTTTCTGAAAGTGTCTTTCTGCTTCTAGAATTCTCCGTGACTCCATCAGTAGAGCAGGGACGCTGGAAGTTCCATACTGTGAGGGAAATAAATTACAAGGCAACATTTTTAACTCCTGGGAAAATCACTTACACATCTATAGTTATTTTTGTTATTTCTGAATTGATACAGTGCAATTTTTAAAAGTAAAGAAGAGCCACCATTAGTCTTCTGAAATGGTAGGATTTCTTTACACACAGCAGGCGTATAGCTCTGTCTACAGAAAACAACACCATGACCTGAGCCATGGTCAAAGGGGAAGGAGTTGTAAGACTCCATGGAAAGTTAATCTGGTCATGAAATACCAGTGCTGTTCTCAGCATTAAATACCTTACAGAACAAACATGCAGGTACCAGAGCTTTCCCTGCCTTTGAACAATAACAAAGGAAATTGATAACTTGTTTCTCACTGTTAATGTTTCTTCAATTTCTATTAGAAAAATATTAGACCTGAGGATAACTGTTACTCTTCTATGTCCTTTGAATTCTTAGACAGAGACAGCAAGGTAGCAGAATCCTCTCTGAAATACTTTGGTTTCTAACATGAGACCAAAAAGTGAGTGCAATACTACAGTACAGATATGGCAGTGATTCTCAACTTGCTTCCACAAAGAATCAGCAAAATACTGCTATTCAATGCAGGTTAAACTTCAACAGAAATGCCCATCAGTCCAGGAAAGGAAAAGGGATGGGCTGATGAACAGTTCAGAAACACATGCAAAATGTGTACTTACTACCTCTTCTTCATTTGGGTTTTCTTCTCTGTAATCCAAACAGTTTTGCTGCAGCTCCTTTAAATCAGTAAGCAATTCAGTTGCCTTCCTCCAGGAAGATCTCCTTTCCTCTATCTCAGCATATTCTCTTTGTAGTTGTATCAGTTGTGGTTCAGCTCTGAAAAAGATCAAGGCTTTGATGACTATATGTGCATATTTATTTAATGAGTAACTATGAACATATTTCCTCTGAAGAAGACTTAAGGGAAAGGTTGGTCAGATACACAAAACACAAGTTAGTATAACACACTGTTTAATTAGAATAACCAGTGTATTATTTAAACAGGAGCACAGGTCCAAATCCACCAAAAAACCCAGTTTTTTTCCACATCTCCCTTTGGAGTCTGACAATACAACCACTCTCTCTTAGGCACGTCAGACTTTCAAGGGAAGTTTCTTAAGTACCCAGTGTTCTGCTTCTGCACATGCCTGCTTGCAGGCTGATGTTCTGTGCTTATGCTGAAGCATACTGAGGAGCTAGAAACCAGATCTGCCGCTGCCTACGTAAACTGGAGGGCTCAAGCCATTAAAAGAGCACTCAGAAAAGCTGAACAACAACATCCATTTTCATTTAATAGTGTTGCAGCAAAAAAGCTTTCTTAAAACGATCTAATGATTAAAAACAAAACAAAAAATATGACAGCTTTCAGTCTGTGAGGGGGTTCAAACCCATATTGAGGGATGCCTTGAATTATTTTGAGTGAAGTTTGTCCATCGTACTGCAAAGAAAATGAGACTCTCATGGCCATAAAGGGCTTTCAATCTACCTTTGTGGACCCAAGCCCATGGTTTCCTACAGAGTTAGCATGTGTGTTACGTGCAGCTTCAGTATAAAGCTTGTCACTATTAACCAGCTGGATCTGGTGAAGTGTAATGGTTCTTCCAAAGAACATAATTTCTGTGTTGTGTATTTAAGTGATACTTACAATTAACGCCAACTTAGAGAAGAATTTGTGGCCACATGAGATGGAAGCAAATCGTGTATCGACAGGCATCCCTGCCAAACTACAGAGGTTAAATAATACATTCTCCCACCTTAAAAACTAAAAAAACCCTCTGTATTGCCATTGTAAATTTATGATTTATCACCTTTGCAATTCCAATTGTAACATCAGTGTTTTTCTCATGGTCTGAAATGCCATCCCAGTACTCAGTTAGCTAGAAGAACTTGCAAGAATGACTGACTATCTAAGGCAACTGCAATATGGAAAGGAGACGTTATCCTGAGTTTTTGTAAAAAACAAAAAGCAATACAGGAGTTTCATCAAAATAAAATGAAAGAGCAAAAAAAAAATGCTTTAACTTCTCAGTTACAAAATACCAGACTCCTTAAGTTCTTCAAGCTATTGCTGTGCACCATTAGAAACGTACCCAATTAGCTCTTCTCTCACTTGCAACAGTCGCTGCATTTTCTTTTTCATGTTTTTTATTACCTGAAACAGAGTGAGGAAACAATTTCTGTAACTTCAAAGGCAAACAGCTCAAATGCTATTGGCTTTCTTTCTTTGAGGTTTTATGTTTCTGGGTGTGGAAGATTCCACAATACCAGACCTCAGAAACTGCCAGATTTCAGATTCATATTGTGAACATTTTAAAGAACTATAAAGTGTTAAGCACTCATCTCCATTCAAATTTCTCTTAAGGAAGGTTGCATTTACAAGCCTACAAAAGGAGTCTGTGACATTTTGAACTCAAAACATGATCAACTCTGGCAGGTTTTTGTGTGTTGCTGTTTGAAAAATGCAGGATAATATGTATGAATGTATGTTCAGTATGATTGCCACAACTAAGGATAAGCTTCCTTTAATACAACATCCAATTAAAAAAAACGACCTCTAGTTAAAAACTTAAATTTAGCAGCGACAGATCTGATTTTAAACAAATGTATAAGAGGCAAAATAAGGTTAACTCTGAGTGGCTGTGAATGCTAGGTGTGTACTGAAATTTTACATGCAGAGCAGCTTCCTGTAGCACCTCAGATTAAGAAGATTTCAGCACACTAATTGCTACCTCTCAGAACAAGCCTCCTGTTGACTTGTTAAAAGCTATTTTGTCATCAAAATGTTTGTGGAAGAGGTTAATCTGGGCAGAAAGCCTCTGGCAGACAGCACCTAACCTGCTCTAAAATCTCTCTGCTGTAGGGTAATCACCTCCCCTCCTGATGAAATCACGACAGTGTTTTTCTGCTCTTGCACTGGTTCCTCCTCCTGTCCATCTTCCCCTGTTGCATTTTCAGTCAGTTACTGCTCACTCTGGATGGATAGAGGTACTGCCTGCCTCTGAACAAAAATCTTGTGTATATTTAAGGAATGCAGCTCCCTTAGACTTCTCTCCTTTAAACTAAACAATCAAATTCTATCCTTACAGGTAACCATCTTTGCTGCACTCATAGATTTTATATTCAGCTATGTTTCTTGAAGGTTAGCTCTCAAAATGGGCTCTCTGGAGGCTTCACTAGTGCTCATTAAAGAGTATTTTACATGCATAGATATCTACACATCTTAATGTGTACTACTCCTTACACCAGTATAGAAGTGTATGTATGGAGTCTGCATTCCATCACATTTCCTCAGGTCTTTTCCAGAAAACTCTAGCCTCTATTTGTGCTACACTTTTCTGTGTATTTATTTATTTTAGTCAACTTCTTTGACATTTCAATGCCTACCTCAGTATGCTGCACAGTCTAGTGATAGCACATCTTTCAGATATGTACTTACCTTAGCGTTTTTTTTCTTAATATTCTTTAATTCCTGGACTTCCCGTATCTACAAAGGAAAAGAATTACCGCTTCACTATGGATCTTAATTTCATCTCTATCGTCCTAAAAACACAGTTGCAAGAACTACATAAAAAGTCATTTAAAAAAACCCACCACCACACTAGTTCAAAGGAAGATTACCAGTTCCTCAGGCCAGAGGAAGACTGTTCCACAAAATTAGTCATTTTGCACCAGTTAGTGTAAGTCATACTCCTTGTACCAGTTAGTGTAATGCTACCTACCTTAATTTTTCTACTTTATACAATATGTATAAATCTAGTAATTTTAAAACTTGCTCATCGTAATGAATCTCTTAGAACTACAGTTTTGGTACTTATCCATTGTACTTATCATAACTCATACGCAGTCCTGAGTTCTTAGTCTTTCAAGCCAATAAGCTTTTGACAAGTTCAAACTGTTAATTAAAAAGAAGACTTTCCCTGAACTACATTAGAGGTCACAGTCAAGCCTCTACATAAGAGCCACTGAGTTGCAGTATAAAGATTAAATCAACAACCTTTTAAAGATCCAGTCCACGAGCTTTTAAACCAATGTTTTACATATCTGTGTGCTTATTCTAATTATGCAGCTCTCCAGCTTTACTGCATAATGCTTTAGATATGAAAACCACTTCAAGATTATTAGATGCTTTCCTGTTCTCACAAGCTGCCAATTCTGCATTATACTTGCATGACAGCAGTGTTGAATCTAAAGGCAATTCTCATTAGTCAAGAGAAAGTCAAGCACAGAGGTAGCAAATCATCAGCTACACACAACTAACTGTGTTTTCTTATTTAACTAAACAAGAGATGGAAAAATTATCATAAAATAAGTGCGTAAAGGACAATATAAAAGCATAGGTACTTTGACTACAATGTAATATACAGTTCTATAATCACTGCCACAAAATTCATTTTATTTACAGTGTACTTACAAGATCAGTGATTTGGTCCTTGAAAGCAGAACAGAAACCATTGATAGCTTTTCTGCAAACATTTGATTCTATGCTTTGTCTGGAGAAGTCAGAGGGACAAAACACAATTCATTTTTGTTTAGTAAAATCCAAAACTATTCCTTTGAGTAATGAATAAAATCTAATGTTAAGCAGCTAGTAGCACAGCCTACTACAGATCTTTCATGTTCTAGCAATAGGTTAACTTCTGCATTGAAAAACTTCAGCTGAGATGTGTTGTATTTATGTTTGGAAAGATACCAGATCCCTGGAGACCCTCTTAAGATCACATATGAAAAAATATTTGTATTGCAGAACCCTAATAATAATTAAAACAACACCAGAAAGTAACCATGCAATACCACACTCCCTAAAGGACAGCTTATTAGCAAAAACGCAGGCAGTTTGTTTTTTAAGTATTCAGCCATGAGAAAGCAGAATACTTGCCTGTAATTTGCCACTATCTTCTCAAACGCATCCAGAACAATATCCAGTTCTGTAATATCTGTACGAGATCTCTTCAGGTCTTTGGGACACCAAACCTGTACAGAACATGAGCTACCCACTGAAACAACAGAACAAATATAAGCATTGTACAATTCAGGTACATCTTCTAAAATAATAGAAAAGATACTGTGCCCACCATTAAAATAACCATCTAAAAGTTATTAATATTTAATATAAAACTTGACAAGAGGGATATATGAGTTATTTCATCTGTCTTTGATGATGCAACTATGACAGACTCATCTGGGAACACTTTAGCATTTGGATGATCAATGATGTACAACTTGTTTCTTATGCTTCATCATTTCAAGCAACTCCAGGAGCACATTAATAAACTAACTGATAAACTACACAGCATATTGTAGATATAGCTGTTTGTACCAGAAAAAATATTAGCTTAAGTTTGGGCAATCTGCATCACTCAAAGATTCATGAGTTCTTGTGTCATATCTGTACACATTTGGTATTAATACCATATATGCTTCCAAAAAAGCTATGCATAAATACATTTCTTTAAACTTTGCAATGGTATTTTTAACTAATTCCACAAAAAGTTAAACTATGTCTCTTTACACACTCCTAAACGTAAATCCAGTGCTTCAATGCAATGGGTCTAAAGGAAGCAAGATGACACCTCAGAAACAGCTTCTCTGTATGGAAAAACGCCACTACCTTGAAGCTCCCCATCTCAAAGGTCTTTATACCAACAGCTGTAAGTCAGGGACACCCCAAGCTCTACCCCACAGCCTCCAGGCATCCAGACCAAGGGATGCACTGAAGTGTTCTACAGCTCCATACCCACGGGATAATGCACACCTATGCTTTACCCCTTAAGGGTAGTAAAAGGCGAGTCCAGGGACGAAAACCATGGCAACCAGACCTGTGGGGCACACCAGCTCCTCAATTTAACCACTGCTAATGAGTGTCTAGACCAAAACTGAAACTAAAACCTCCCACTTCTAGAAGCAGTATGTTGCTACATACCAGAAATGAAAACCACTGAGTTATGAAAAAGCATTCATCTTGAATGAGGAAAAATTATACAGGAATTTCGAAAAGTCTGCTTTACCAGAAGGATCTGACGTGGTCTCCTCTGAAGGCCGCTTCTTTTTCGCCTGGAATTGAGTAGTATTCAGAGCCTTCTGTGATATAAAAAGCACATTAACTTCCAAAAAAAACCCAAAAACCAAACCTCTAGGTTCACTCATTTAAAATTCTGAAAGATGCCAATTAGGCAGAATGCAGGAAAGCATTTCAGCTTTTCTCAGCCGAAGCTTCAGTAACATTTCCTGAGGGGTACTTCACCAGAATCACAGCAGAGTGACTACACTGACAGCAGCTGTCTGACCACAGTGACCGACTGCCATTGCAGCCACTGGCTGTGCAGGAGGAGGAACATTTTAGGGAGCACAAAGCTCCTCAGCTCAGCACAGTCACCACTCAGTATTGACAGTTCTCTGATCAACAGCACCTCCTCACTTTTCAAGCTCCTTTTGTCCCAATTCTTCCCCTACTTAGGCTACTTTGTGACACCAACACTAACTCTCCAAGAGTACTGCATACATGCAGTTTACTGGTGAAAGACTAACACTCTGTAGTGAATTTTACAACACAATTTACAACAATTCCAATTAATTTCAGTATGTAAAAAACTTTTGGACAAACTGCTGCATAGCTTCTTTTATCATTCTCTCATAAATACGTTTTACTTCACTACTGAACAAGTACAAAGAATCTATACTCCGTTTAGTATGCTGTTCTTTAAGAACATGTACTCCAGACATGAAGATATTTGAAAGAAGAAAAGAACATATTCCCAGATGAGCAAAAGAATGGGCTACAGGATCAAGGAACACTTGGCTATCATACTTCCCATTGACATGATGACCTTAGCCTTAAGTATTTCACTTGGTCATCTCACAGTAGTACTTTGAGGGTTAATTATTTTGGATACAACTAAGTACTAAGGCAGTACTAAGAGAAAAACGAAAGGTTTTCCTCTCCCTCTCTTCTAACGCAGGCATGGCATGAAGTCAGTTAAAATTAAATTGGCTGATATACTCATGCAGCTGTTTCTGTACCATGCTCTCCTCAAGGGCTTTATCTTCAGGATCAGCTGTGTTGGATTTCTGAACATCACCACCAGCCGTTTTTGAGCGCTGCACTTCTTTACTAGGAAAAGAATAACATCCATATGTAAACCTACTCCACACTGAGAAAGAATGACCTTCCACCATACACACAATGAAATCTCGTGTTTAGGGGAACATTTTATACTGCTGTGTCATTTACTTTGTGTTTCCTAAATAGACTACAAAAAAACCTGCAAATGGCATAATAACAAGAACAGAATCTTTATGCCTCCACTGCAACTCTCACGACAGTTTAGGAATTCATTACTAACTGATCACTGGTGTAGCTGTATTGTGTTGAGCAGAAACTTCAAAACAGAGACAAATTGTTACTGAGGACGCTTTAGCA